TTTTTTGCACCGCACGCTCGGCAACCTGTCCTTCCTTCCGACGCGTATCTACCATTTTTAACCGCCACTTCTAATGGATGCAACGGCTTTTTCGTTCGCCGTCGCCGGCCATCTGTCGTACAATGAAAATGGTTTGATGAAATTAAAGTCAGCTGATTGAGAAACCAGCGCAGTCTAATATTCGAGCCGGATCTTCCAGCTGCGTGTATTAAACAACCGATACGATTTTTTCATCTGAATTATTCATCATCGCAAAGTCAAGCTTTTTTTAATGTTGATAAGACATGAGAAACTTATTGCAAATTTTCCGTGAATCACGAGCGCGATTTTTTGCGAATATGTCAGAATCCGTAATGCATCGGTTACTGTTTGACAATTTTATATATTATTTAGAATGCCCAAATGTCGACGAGACGAAGGGTAGAATATTTTTATTGTGGAAATCTGGAATTTTCGTCAATTTTTTTCCAATAGCTATACAAAATAAAATATCGAAGCTAGGTACAGCGCTTTAGAATTATTGATATTTATTCTCAAATATTTTCCAATATCATTTCTAATATTCATCAACAATGACGTTTGACAAGAAAGGACAGATTTAATATTGATGCCAATTTGACATTTCTATTAATGCATTTTTCACTTTTTCATCAATATATAAGTACCGACAATTTTTTCCCCGAATACAGAGGCTCTTTAATTAATTTTCAATTTTTCGAAAAAAGTTTCAACAATTTTGAACATTGAAAGTAGCTTCGGGCATCCAGATATTCGTTGATTGACAGAAGAATGAAGTACGAGGGAACTAATCCTTATCAGACTCTGAATAAATAATCTTCGATGATTGCGATGAAAATCGACTTATGCGAGTGCGTGATACTTTGAGAGGGATCAGGTAATGTCATCTTCGTCCCTATAAAAGGAGATATGTATACTGTAGATCTGTATACCGTCTAGCTCAGCAATTAGAAGCACGCGTTCGAGTGGCAGCTGCCCGAGTGCGATTTGACGATAAGGTAATTAAAATATTTCGTAAACACGTTTCCTCGTACACTGGCAGATGCACAATGTCTGATAAGCAAAACGTATACGCGAAAGAAACTATCGTTCCTTTCCGAACGAAACGCGCCATCAACATTTCCGCCTACACAAAAGGAAAATATTAATTAGATAATAATTTAATTTTTAATATTATTTTATATCTTATTTTTAATATTATTTTACATGCTATTTAAATAATATATATTATATATTATAATAATATATATATATATATATATATATATATATATATATTCTTATATATTAAATATTATAATAATATATATTTTAATATATGTTATAATATATACATTATAATGAAATATTATTTTACATCCTTATTTTACATCTGAAATTTCATTACAATAGCATGCCTAAAATTTAGATGTTAAAAAAACGAATATTTGTAAGTTTAATAGGAAAATTCCCCGCTAAATTCTAGCTTAAAAAATATTAGTTTACCACAGCTAAAATGTAGACATCGTAATTAAATTTCAAGCATAATATATATAGGGACATCTAATATATTTTTTCCTCGTGTGTATCGAAACGTTTGGGGAAAATAACTTTTCGAAGTCTTCCTTTCCGTTATTACGTTAAATTATCGTAAATTAGGATTCTTCCTCGTAATTCCGAAGATGCTAGCAGATGCATATGTGTGCGTTTGTACGTGTCGGGACGGGAGTTTAATGTTTCCTCCGGAGGCAAATGTTCGGTGTCGTCGAAACTTAAATAAATATAAGCGCCGGCTGCCACCAGGCTGCTTTCTCGCTGTCGTTGGAACGTAACTTGTAGCTTCTTTAAAGGGCTGTTTACACTGGCGAGCCAGGCCGGCGACTGAATGCATTCGTGAAATGCATTTCGTTGACACCGAGATTTGTGGAATGGAAAGAAAAAAAATCTCGAGACTCAAAGTTTATCCCGTCCCGTTACGACTCAATCTACCTCACAGATACACATCAGGGTGTCTAGCGGTCCAGCTATTCTACATTTGTCTCGATAATTTGAATTTTTTATTATATTTATTTATCATATAAATATACCTATATGCAAATTATATAATATATTTGGAAAAAAATCATACTAAAAGTCAGGGAATTTTTTTCGTTAATAAATCTTTTATTATTTTTCCGACCAAACTGACTATTAATTTGATTCCAAGTTGCACAACATTTCGACCATCGGTTCTGGTCCTTATCAAGCGCTCTAATATAAATACAAAATGATGTTCATAAATATTAATTACCTATGATTCCTATACACAAGATAAGATTTCTTCATTGAGTCTGCCGGACACCCTGCACGCACACATGACAGATGAGGGACGGGCAGCAATGAGGAAAGATGCGAACCAATTGATCGAAGGAGGAAGAGATTTCTTGGCTTCGGCGATTAATTACGCTCCCATTCCCGCCCTCTCAACGATGCATCGTCGATATTGACATTTGCCTTGCCTCTAACCGCTTCTCTCTCTCTCCCCGTGAGGAGAAAGGGAAAAAAGGACCGTGAGGGAACGGATACCCATCAGATTCTTTCTCTCACGGAGAACGAAGGGGGTGGAAATCCCTCGTGAGGGCCCCTGCTTCTCGAGCGTGTGCTTATCGCGGTTGCGGCCGGCGCGTTTTTCCCTCACGTGAGGAAAGAGAGAGAGAGAGAGAAAGAGGCGCAGGTAGGTTGGTAGGTAAGGCAGTCAGGTCGGCCAGGAATGCGCGTACAAGGGAATTAGACCATAATCGCCCACGCGTGTGTGTCGTGCGCGAAGGGGACGTTTTCCGCCCTGCCTTTGGATCCCCGATGTGCACTCGACGTTGCCCTCACCCTCGCCCTCGCGAGCACCAATCTTGACCTCACCTCACCGCACGGCAGATTACACTGCTGGGCCTTTGAGCCGCAGCGGGAAAGAGAGTCGGATATTAATAAACGGTTTTCAGCGCTTGCCGTAAAATGCTCATTAGGCGATAATTCAGGCTGCATTGTTGCGCGAAAAATTACGTTTGTGAAGGAAGAACCTAACTTGAACAACAGCGCCGAGCCTACGCGATAATCAATCATCCATTCGTGAACAAAAGTATTAATTACCTTTGCTATTTTAGATGTCCTTATATATATATATATATATATATATACTTGATATGCAAATTTAATGCGGAATTGCCTACTAAGTTACAGCTTTAAAATTTTACCTGCGATAATTAATATTTTTGAGCTATATACAGTTTAGTAGGGAATTTCCTGTTAAATTGTAGTTGAAAATATTAATTGCAGCTGAAGCTAAAATTCAGACGTGATAATTAAATTTTAGGTATAATATAGGAACGTCTAAAATTCAACTAAGGTAGATAATATTTTTTAGCTATAGTTTATAGTAAGGAATTTCCTGTTAAATTGTAGTTAAAAATATTAGTTGCAGCTGAAGCTAAAATTCAGACGTGATTAATTAAATTTTAGATATAATATATGTATAAGGACATTTAAAATTAAACTGAGAGAGCTAATATTTTTTTTTCTGATCTCACAATCCAGTATTTCAGAGAATAGTCTACAATATAATATATACCCGAGATTATTCTTGAATTTAATTTGAATTTAATTGGCTCCGCGTTCTTTGGAACCACGAGTACGTCCATCTTGACAGAAATGGGGAAAGTTTCCCGCGGCTTGCGCGTTAATTGGAAATGTGCCAGACACCGATAAGTCACGCATAACTTATTGAAAGTTCTATATAAATGTCGACAAGAGTAATTTTGCAGTCTATTATCCAGCGCTTTCTTTTATGTATTCCATTAACAATTTTTCCTTAATTCCATTTCGATTTTTATCTTATTTTAAAATATCGCCATACAGAAGTTTAATTTGAAATCTATTTGCGTCTGTGACATTGTTGAAATTTTTAATCTTGCAAATCAAATATTCCTTAAAGAAATTCTTAAAGACGAAGTTGCGTTATAGCCTTTCAGATCTGCGTTTGAAGAGCTATCGCTTGATTGATCAATTATGCAATTAATTTACACTTGATTCGATTTTCTTTATGATCGACAATTTTTTTCAACGTCGGTAAAGACGATAAGTTCCTTACTTCCGGTTACCGCGCGTTTCCGTCAATATTAAGAGTCGGTAATCGGAATCTTTTTGAAAGATAATGCAGTTCTCTGCATCTGTCTGTGACGTAACGTACAAGATATTTTTATTATTAAAAGACAGTTTTCACGAAATTGCCACGATAGGAATCGCAATACAAAAATTGATTCTATTTTAGTCAACTTTTTTCTTTTTAGAAAATCACAATTAGGAAAATATTGACGGATAAAACAGTGTTACCGACGACAGTATCGTGTGCAAATTAGTAATACGCGCGCAAAATGTTAATAAAAAATATACCAAAGTTCTTTCTGTCTCTATCTTAAAAGAAAAAGTATATACTTAATATAATATAATATAATATAATATCAACCTCAAAATAATAGTAATATTTATTGCATCATTATTAAGCATCAAAACATGGCTTTTTTAATAAGAAAGAAAGATACATATAACATATCTAGATATATATATATATACAAATGCAATCAAAATTCCTAATAAAAAAATTATAATTGCACTAATTATAATAATAAGATATCGTGATAACAAAATAAATAATAATTAAGCATAGAAGCATCAGCGATTTAGGCGCGACTTTTAAAATTCGAATCTATACTTTTATTGTATAAATTCGAATAGTTTAGGGAGCGTTATTTTATATCGTCCAGAATTTAATCTAACGCGTCTCGGCTCTGTGGAAGTTATACTTTTATTACCGGTTCTATTGAACTTAACGAGATCAATTGAGACGATACGGTTGCCTTGATTTTACGATAGCCAAACGCTGCGATGTGGTGATATAAGCGTCCGATCCCCGCCAACTTTAAATTTTCATGTCTCCACCCACGTTTGACACATCGGTATCTCTCTTCTTTCAGCACCTGTACCACCTGCAAACCGGCGAAGGGGCTTTTCGGGAGCGAGGAAGGGGACGAGGCAAGGGTGCCACGAGGGTGAGTAATGTGTCTCTCGGCTTTTAACTGTTGATATTTATTTTGTATAGCATTATATTATTTTTATTTTATTTTATTTTATTTTATTTTATTTTATTTTATATTATTTCATGGCGTCATGAGCGCCCGCAGGGATGGGGGCAAGAGGGAGCATTCACCCCCTCTTTGAAATCGGAAAAAAAATTAAGCATTTAATCTCCTTTTGAATAAACACTGAAACTTATTTGCATATTTAATATGAAAAAAAAAAATAAAAATATATATAACAAATTAAAATTAATTTGCCTCCCTACTTGAAATCAGTAAATAAATTAAGCATTTAATCTCCTTTTGAATAAACCCTGAAATTTATTTGCATATTTAATATGGAAAAAAAAATGAAAATATATATAACGAAAAAATTAAAAGGAACAAAAAATTGTAATCGTGTCTCTCCCTGGAAAAAATTCTGCGGACGTCAGTGGCGTATTTGTCTGAAATTTTGTCGAGAGAAAGCGTCGTTCCTCCGACAAGAAAATATAAAAAGGCACTCCGATATTAAAGAATCATCAATTAACTATAAAGATTATTAGAGGTGGAATTTCGGCGTTGTTATCTAATTCGCGTTATTTAATTACCGAAGACGCGCTCCGCGCCGCGCCGGCTCTATTCCGCTGACGTAGGCCAGCTATCTCTTGGTACCGACAGTACGGAGTTTCAGAACTGATATTAAGCAAGGTGGTATTGATCGACGCACGTTGCGCCTGTCCGCGTTGCACACCGCCATGTTTAAAATCCGTTTGCCTTAAGCCGCGTACGAACTTGGGGGCACGCATACGGGGAAACGTCGCTCCCGTACACGAAGAAACTTTCCCCGTATACGTGATATTTAATTTTCATTCGCGGAGATGAGATATATAGAGCCGCCGAGAGAGCTCCTCCGCTCTTCTGGGGCTCCGCTTTTACGAGGAGGAACGTTATATATTATCAGGCTAAATTCGAAATGAGAATAAACAGTCAAAATCGGGGGCCGCTCCACGGAAATTCAAACAAAACACATGGATTATTATTCGTCGGGATATCTCATCAACTATACTCCTATATTTCTCGGTCTCTCTCTTTCCGCCGATTCCCCCGGTAGTAAAGAAAATATTATATATTTCGCTTCGAAAGATCTTGGATAAATAATTTTCTCATTGTCTGTTGTTGTTTCTTTCTGTCGGTTTCTATTATTCGAGCGCGAACTTCTAACAGCGCGAGGAAATCGGCCCAACGACCCATGGGCCTTCCCTTATCTAATCTGAACATGCCAGATAAGATATTAACATCGCATTCCTGTATTTAACTGCTCTGGTAAACGAAGATAGGGACACGTGTATATTTGCTGACCCAAAATAAATTTGCGCCTCTTTTTTCTTTTAACGCGTACTTTTTTCTCGATTTTTTTTATTTTGAATGAAATAGTATACGTGGAAAGATAGTACGCGGTGCGTACTAGTATCTAAAAGATAAGTATAATGAAGTTAATCAATAAGTATAAAGTAGGTATAATAATTATTATAGTATATTACATAACTGTATTTATAAAATATATATATATATATATATATATATATATATGTAATATTATATACTATTATATTTAACATAGTATTATAGTACTACAATACTATATTAAGTATAATATGCATAGTACTGCAGTATTATTTTAAGTACACTATATAAAATATACTACAGTATATTATACTTAATATAGTAATATACAGTACTAGTAATATAGTACTAGTAATATAACTAGTATATTATACTATATTATTATACATATAGTATTATAGTACTATATGTATAATGGTAATATTCATAGTACTATAGTAAATATAAATATAATATACTACAGTATATTATACTTAATATAGTAATATACAGTACTAGTAATATAATACTGGTATATTATACTATATTAATCATTATACATATAGTATTATAATACTATATGGTAGTATTCATAGAATGGTAATATTTATAGTACTATAGTACTATATTAAATATAATATACTACAGTATATTATACTTAATATAGTAATATACAGTACTAGTAATATAATACTGGTATATTATACTATATTATTATACATATAGTATTATATATGTATAATGATAATATCCGTAGTACTATAGTACTATATTAAATATAATATACTACAGTATATTATATTTACTTAATATAGTACTAGTATAGTATTATATAGTACTATTAACATAATACTAGTATATTATACTATATTATTCTATGGTACTATAATACTATATTAAGTATAACAATATAGTAATACATGCTTAAACTAAAATACTTGTAGTAGAATATTGAAGTAAGAAAAGAGGTATATACAATATAGTAGTAGTAGACTTTGCAAAATGAGAAAGGATTTGGCGTGTAAGGATCAACGGGACGCGAAGGGCTTAAGGACAGATCCGTAAGACGGTTCTTCGAGAGGGCTCGTTTATTAACGTCCCTGCAACTTGTTGCTGAGCGCGTTGCCATCGGCCCTTCTGACCTCTTTCATGGCATCTCTAACCAGCCTCTCCAACGACGCCTTCGGGGAGACAAGTCCAAAAGAAAGAAAGAGAGAGAGAGAGAAACGAATCCTTAACGAGCAACTGATTGAAACATCCGTTTCCCCTTATCCTCACGCTCGAAGACGATTCTACTCTTTTTTCCTCCCTCGACGGGAAGACAACCCCTGCAAACTCGAGCGCATCAAGTCCGAACGATTCATCGATCGAACGAAGAAATTTCGACTATAATAATATGCAAAATTGACGCCGCAGAGTAATGTTCTATAATTAAACGCAGGTATCGTTGACGATAAAATGTTCAACTCGCGCTTATGTTAGGACTCGCTGGGAGAGCGCGCAATCTCTCTCTCTCTCTCTCTCTCTCTCTTCTTTTTCGTCTCCCCCCGATACATAAACATTTCTCTGACGGCGGCAGGTATTCTCTTACCCCTCCAGAGCAGCCCCGTTCTCTACCCCCTCCGTCGCGTCAGCCACCTCCAGTTACAATGACGCGTTGGTGAACCATCCCCTCTTCTTCTTCGTCGTCGTCGTCGTCGTCGTCGTCGTCGTCGTCGACGGCGGCGGTGGCGACGACACCAACACCAACATCGGTCCTATTGCTCGTCTATCTATGGAGAGCCATAACGATTCCGCGACGGAAGTTTTGTTTTTTCTTTCTCTTTTTTTTTTCCTTCTTTTTTTCCCGCCTTCCTTCCTCTTTCGCGATGGTCGCCGGGGCTTAAGCCGATACTTGAAACGTGTTTTCCTCGAGTACGATGCTCCGATATTTTTTTCCTCGCACAACAGTACGAGATAAAATTGTATATTACTGCTGTGTTTAATCTAGGTGTGCGTAAATATAGGTATTTGCATATTTGAAATTGTTATTTGGATTATCGGTGCGATAAATCGATAATTTTGACGCTTCGCGAAAACTCTGCCCTCTGGGGGGGAAGATTCGCATCTCGATGCGGAGAAGAAAAAAATTAGGTGACGTAATGAAATTTTGAACCGGTATCATCTCGCCGTAGGCAAAGCAAGTCGATAACCGAATCAGAGGCCCCTTCCCCTTGTCGTTTAATTCGATGGCGCGCCGTCTCTCACTTCGGAAGAGAAGGAGAGGCCGGTCGGAAACACCAGACGGGAAAGAAAACGAGTAAAACAGAGTTGGAGAAAAAGAACACAGAAAGGAAGAGGGAGTGGAGGACGACGAAACGGAGGGAGATCGTGTAAATCGACACGAGCATGTACGAGCCTTCTGGAAGACACATATATCTACGAGCCGAAAAATCTCTCGCGTGGGACGTTAAAGAGGTTGCCGCGAACCAAAACCCCCAGTCAACCCTTCAATCCTTACTAACCCCCTTTTCTTTCGCAGAAATTCATCTGTCAGTGAACGACGATGACGGCTGTGAAAAATCTGAAAGAAATCTCCACGACTCGACGGAAGCGAATCGCAATCTTGGGAAGTCGAAATCCCCTTTCTGGAGCCACCCAATCGAAAACCCGACTTCCGGTGCAACCCCAGGATCGTGTCGGGGAACCGCGTCGCGTCGCGCCGCGAAGAGACGCTCCACGCAGGAATCCGCGATATCGCGCCGCGATAACGCGGCGAAGAGGACGAAGAGAGGGGGAGGAAAAGAGGGGGTGGGATAAGGGGAGGCGAGTCGTGGGAGAGAAACAACGAGCACGCGACCGCGCACACAACCACACGCGCGATTGCGCGCTTCAGCGTCCCGTCTCTCTCTTACCCTCTCGTTCGTAATATAGAGGGAGAAGAGGAGGCGCGAGAGGAGAAGGCGCGGAGGAAGAGAGGCAAGAAAGAGAGAGAAGAGGAGGGAGTGGAGGAGGAGGGAGCACCGGAGGAAAAGGGAGAGGCGTCTCATGGGAGTTATTCGGCGGATCGCTCCGCGACCAGAGTGATCTCTCGCGAGTGTCGTCGAGCGATCGATTCCCGATCGGGGGTTGTTGTTGTGTGCGCGAAAGTTGCGTGTTGTTCGAAAAGAGCGCAGAGAATATTGTGCGTAGCTCGAGCGCAGTTCGGCGCCAACACTCGCCCGCGAAAGGTAGCAGCCGCCTCTCTCTCTCTCTCGTCCTTTTCGAGGTAGATCCGGTGGTAGATCGCGATAGAAGAGAAATCGCGGGAGAGAACTCTTCGCGAATTGTATATGCGTATGTAAGTTGATAACCAGTCGTCGGGTGTCTTCTAAGTGATACTCCGATCGGAAGTTGGAGCTATCTTCCGGAAGTGGACCCCGAACCAACTTCGGGAAACGTGTTCTCTCCTGCGAGGGAACTTTGGAAGAGCGAGACGCGAGATCAAGTGTGAGTCTTTTCTTCATCGATTTTGCGTATATATATATATATATATATATATATATATGTGCAAAAATCTCTTGTCATTTTTTTAAATCTCGGTCCTCTTGGATCGAAAATTTCGAGGTGATGACGACACGTGTCTCGAT